GAGATCGGGTTTCCGGTGAGGAGGGCAAAGCTGAAAATGAAGCAGGCGAATCCGATGCGGATGCTAGATAGGTCCGAGCGTATATCGTGAGTGACATATGGCTATAGTAAGAGAGGGGGGAGAAGACAGGATACGGACCCAACTTCGTCAACGCTCTTCGCGAACACAGTGATCATTGGCGCGGCCATGGAAAGGACTGTTCGATGGATGTGAGCACGTATATGTGGCATATGGCAATAGTGCATAGGGACGTGAACGTACAGCACCCAGAGAAAAAGCCGTACAGGATGGCGAACGCAATGATGCCGTGCTCCGTCTTCGCACCGAACATCGCGAACATCAGGAGGCCAGCAATGGTGGTCATCGGGATGATCACTGTTCCGTATCTCGAACGTTAGCATCCACATCCATCTGGGATCAATGCATAGCAGCGGAACTGCAAAGGCGCACCATTGAATCGACCGTAGTAGTCGGCGAGGAAGTTGGGTATTGTTCGACCAAACAATGAAGCACCGTTGAGGATGGGGATCTAGCAAGCGTAAGCATTTCAAAACAAATCCGGAAACTGATTCGACGACATACTATGTAGATCGTGAAGCTATGGGATACTCCATGCAAGGAACCGTAGAGCTGTAGATAGAAGACTGCGATGTGTGATTGCGTGGTGAGTTCAAATGAACGGCCCTGGGAGGAGACAGGGCATACACGGGAAGAAAAGGCCCCAGAATGTGAAGAACGCCCTGAAAAAGGCGACGAGCGTCATTAGGTCCCTACCCAAAGGATGACGGATAGATGTACCCAGCTACACAAATCATGTACGGAACGTCGATAAGCAAGGGTTTGACTACAATTGGAGGAGCGTCAGGTCTTTCTCTGCGGCTGGGGAGTCTTGTCTTCATGAAGAGGAAAGAAAGTGACAGCAGAAGCAGCGATATGAATCCGTAGGCTCTGATGTTGTATATCAGTAAGCCGGTACACGTGAGGAGCAAACGACACAGATACCTCACTGCCCATCCAAAACCCGCTGAGCTGTTGATCAGGTGGTTGAGCATGATGGGCCAAATGACGCCACCCAACGAGGCACCTTCAGGAATGTCAGTCAGGGTGCATCAAAGGGGAGCTTCCTGAGCTGGACTTGCCTGCAATGACGCATCCCATAGCTAGCGAGCGTCGTGCACGGAAATACTGTGATGATTGACAGGGATGGAAGAAATAGCAAGCCCATGCCCAACCCGACGCCGAGGCCTTGGGATAAGAACGTTTCGTAGTACTTGTGGGGTTTAGTGAGAGACAGCATGAAGACCCTATGGAAAGGCAGGTGTGTCAGTGGATTATCAGCGTGAAACTGAAGTGGCGTACGAGAAGAGATAGAGCAAGGAGCCACAGGCAATCAGGTAGCGGAAGAATCCTTCGTCATAGAGGCGACCAGACGGCAGAGCGACAGCAAAGAGCAGGAAGAGTTGAAAGGAGCCTATCCAACTAATCTGGGACGGACTGTGTTCTTTCAGCGACACACGCTAGGTGGTAGAGTAAGTTGATGAAGGCGTCGGCTGCACATAGCGCGCACCGTGTAGTAATCCTGGAAGACACCGAAGGACTGTACGATGCCAAACGTGCACATGACGACCATGGATCTGTCAATTCGTCTGAATGTGAGCCTGATTAAATCCGTAATGGACAGAGGTGCTATACCCTCCAAGAACAGTCAGCCATGCTCTCAGACCGCCCTCTGGGAAAGATGACGAGGTTGTGGGCGAGGTTGTCTTCAGCTCGTCGTTAACGGAGCGTTCCTCGGGCGGTTTCTCTCCCATTGGTGAGGCGGCCTCAGCAAGGTTCTGTAATTCGTGAAAAGAGGCCATGCTGGTTTTTGGAGATGGCCTCTAAGGAGAGAGCAGTGGGATGAGGGTGAGACGAGTGCAGGATCTCCGCAGCCTGGACCGCGTTAAGGGGAGGGAGGACTCGCGCTGAGTGCAGTTCATCGTAAAGTCGGTGCGGAAGAAGCATGGAAGGTGCCAGGACCCCAGAGCCCGCATGAGCTGCTGTGAATGTTCTCGGCGGCGTGTCTGGAAGGAGCAGCTTCAATTGGCAGTTCGGGTCGGAGTGAGCCAATTAGCGCTGCGCCTGGCATCGATCGCGAGCGCCCGGGTACTCAAAATACTCTAACGCCGCTCTCCCTCAGGCGCGGTAACTCCGGATGCTGATATCGCTTGCTACCATTCCCTATCTATCTTCTCCGTGACCTAGTCTGGTCTGAAGCCTGAATGTCCAACTGTCGCGGGATCGCTCGCCGGCACACAGGTCCAAGAACTCACGTTCACCGAAGAATGTACTTCTCCATGCGGCGCCGTACTTCTTTGTCTGTACCTCCTACCCATACAGCACCTCTTCAAATGCGCGCTGGCTGGTGTGGTTCCCACATCTGAATATTCTCTTCCTCCTTATCCCACGGGAGTACACCGAGGCACCGGCGTATCAGTGCAAAGGCTCGTCGAAACCTCTTCCCGGAGGGGTTTTCTTGCCACAGTATACAAGCTTCCGAATACAAAGTGCGTAACATATACCTCTTGACACATTCTAGTTCAGTGGCGATTAAGTATACGCATGTCCGCTTGAGCGGTTACTCGCCTCTCTTTCCCGCTGAAATCGAGCCCACCCTGCTCGATAGGAAGAATAGGACCCTAGATTTGACATGTCTCATATCAGTTTTCTACAGATCAGTTGATGATTCTTCTAGCCTTACGTCAAAGTCGATACGACCTGTGACGGGAGTTGCTATAAGTACCCATCACCACGAACATAAGGATGCTGCCATACCTTCGCAATGCTCGACCTCTCCAAGAATCCGTTGTTCGACCTGAACTCCCGCACACTCAGTGTGGACGAGAGGGTGGCCCTCTCCTATGCACGCGCAAGACTTGTCCTTCGATCCTACAGTAGGCATGCAGCTATTGTAACAGAGTTCGGGTTTGCTCATAGACGTGGTAGATCTCTCAATCAGCGATGTTCAGCACTTCAGTCCGAAGTTCTGGGCCATGCATCTCGACCCCATTCTGCCGCTGGACTTCGGCTGTTTCACCATCCTCGC